AAAGACCCAACACAGAAAGAGAACTACAGGCCAATATCTTTGATGAACATAGATGCTAAAATTCTCAACAAGATCCTAGCAAACCGGATTCAACAACACATCTCAAAAATCATCCATCATGACCAAGTAGGCTTCATCCCTGGGACGCAAGGCTGATTCAACATTCGTAAAACCATAAATGTAATTAAAAACATCAACAGATGTCAAAACAAAAACCACATGATTATATCACTAGACACAGAAAAAGCTTTTGATAAAATTCAGTACCACTTCTTGATAAAAACCCTTGAACATCTAGGCATATGTGGAACATACCTCAAAATAGTAAAAGCCATCTACGAGAAATCCACAGCCAGCATACTCCTAAACGGACAAAAATTGGAACTACTTCCCCTGAAACTGAAACAAGACAAGGATGCCCACTCTCACCCCTCCTGTTCAATACAGTATTGAAAGTCCTGACTAGAGCAATCAGAGAAGAGAAGGCAATCAGGGGTATCCAAATAAGAAAAGAGGAAGTCAAAAATTATCTCTCTTTGCAGATGACATGATTGTGTACCTTGAAAACCCACGAGAATCTGTCAGAAACCTCCTTACACTGATAAAAGACTTTGGCAAAGTCTCAGGGTATAAAATAAATGTGCAAAAAACAATCGCATTTCTTTACACCAATAATAAACAAACAGAAACCCAAATGAAAAGCACATTCCATTCACAATAGCCACACACACACACACACAAAAATGAAATACCTTGGTATCTTCCTAGCCAGATACGTGAAAGACCTTTATAATGAAAACTACAAAACAATGCTCAAAGAAATCAAAGATGACACAAACAAGTGGAAAAATATTCCATGCTTATGGGTTGGAAGAATCGACATTGCTAAGATGTCCATTCTACCTAAGGCAATCTACAGTTTTAATGCAATACCCATCAAAATTCTTCTCAGACCTAGAAAAAAAACAATACAGGAAAGGAATTCATATGGAAACACAAACGACCAAGAATAGCCAGAACAATCCTCAACAACAACAAAAAAAACAAAGCAAGAGGCATCACATTACCAGACTTCAAACTTTACTATAAAGCCACAATCATCAAAACAGCTTGGTACTGGTATAGTAACAGGCATATAGATCAATGGAATAGAATTGAGTTTCAGAAGAGAAACCTCAGTTTCTCAACCAACTCATCTTTGACAAAGCCTCCACCATCTACTACTGGGGAGAGGAGAACCTATTCAGTAAATGGTGCTGGAAAAACTGGCTGACCACATGCAGAAGAATCAAACAAGATCTCTAACTATCCTCATACACAAAAATTAACTCTAAATGGATCAGAGACCTAAATGTAAAACCTCAAACCAT